CTGTGTCGGGTCCAAGCTACGCGAGCAGCTGCTGAGAGAAACCAGAGGTGAACTGCAGGGGTGAGCCTGTGGGTTTATAGGGCAGACAGCCCATGTGCTTGCTGTGTCCCAGATGCTCCCAGCTCAGGCTTTGGCCCTCTCAGCTCACAAAACATGCCTGATCCTTTTGATCAAAACCTGTTAAGATGCACCTAAGCAATATGCAGATGGCCATAAACTTGACAACATACCTGAAATGAAGCAGAGCCTGATTTAGAAGACAAGAAGGAGTGCTTCTTCCCGTATCAAGCTGGGGCTTTCTGCTGGCACGTTTATTTAGCATTGCTCCTAAACTGGTGGATCAGATGGAAGGCAGTGAAGTGGATGAGAGGGCCGTGCTGAAGCGAGCAGGCTCTCCTGATAATTGCAGCGCTGCCAGCGTTCCTCCAGCCAGTTAATAGATTTCCCCAGGTTCTCTGTGCCAGGTGAAAATTTCCTCATTAAGGGGAATTTATTCCATTTCCTTTTATCGCTTATTATTGAAGAAGTGAGTGGATGGAGTTCCAAAGATGACAGGGTGGAATTTTAAACAAAAAGCAACAAAAATCAACACTGGAAGCTGAAACTGAGGCAGAAGCAAGGTTCAGGAAAAGCTTGCATTGCTTATATGCTGCAAATTGTGCAGGGGACTACAGCTTTCTGAGGAAGTGAACGGCCACTAAATGATGATGGCAGTGTGCAAAAGTCTGATCGTCTGGTTTTGAAGCTCTAAAGCTTCTGACTGTCATTTTCCAAAGGCAAACATTAGGAAAAAGTAGCATTATAGGAGTCTGGAATCATGGCCACTTAATCTTCCCCTGTTTCAGAACTGATTGTGAACCAGCGAGGGAGTTTAATCTTTGGAAGACTTCTTACTCTGTGTTTGAAATGTAAGTGATGCTCCAGGGGAAAGTGGGAGGCAGCGATGTAGGTCTGGGTCATGTGTCTGGGAATAGCTAGAACTGAGGATTTTTTCCTTCGCTTTTTAGCGCAGGACTTCTGGTGAGCTCTTGGAAGGGTTATTTGGGCTCAAGCGTTCAAAGGGATCAGCCTGATTCCGCTCTTGCTGGCTTTAGTGTCTCCAGCATGTGTAAAGGACTGCCTCTGAGCACAGGCGGTGGGGATGCTGGATCTTAAAAATCATCACTGCTTAACCTCTGCGTGTCTGTTTCGCTGTCTAGAAGATATGCATCGCCCTACCATACTGCTTGCATCTTTCTCTATATCCTTTCCGTGAAAGTTGAGATGTAAATCCTAAATATTGCCCTTATTAGTAAACAGAAATTACCCAGGTCTGAAGATGTGTGTCCAGCATGTGCAGAGAGGCAGCCTGATTTTTCCATACAGGTGCTGAGGGTTTGCAGCTCTGATCCAGTTCCCTTTAAACGTGGTGGAGGAATTCTGCTGGCTTACTCTGCCTGCCCCTTCCTCTGGTTGTGCCTCCGAATCCCTGGGAGCTGCCTCAGAGGCTTTTGGCAATTTCTCATCTCATGGCAGATCCTGGTTCCAAGTGCCTGGAAAGCAGCACTGCTGGGTGTTTGACTCTTGACGATTTTCTGTGCCGGTATTAAACGGCAAAACTTACGTCTCCAGGGTTGGGTTGTCAGTTCTAACCTTCCCTGCCTCGTGGTGAGCTGGGTGCGTTTCCTCCACACTGAGCTGCCTCCATGGCAGTGGGAATGAGAAAACCCTTCCTGTCTAGGTGCTGCTTGAATAGAGGCTCCCACCGCCCCTTTCTTATTAGCCACACTGAAAGCTACATCTCTTCATCATCCCTTGGGAATAGCAGAGGGGAGAAAAGCGAGGTTTCATTTCCCCTTCAGGTACTCAGCCTTTCCCTTGCGCGCTGGTTATCCCGTACCAAACCGGTTACCTTTTTGCATGGATTAGTAAGTGTCCTAACCTAATTTAAGCTGCTAGCCCAAGGCAAATGAATAATCACTGCTTCTCTTCTACCCACCCCA